GTGCCGAGTTGTGGCAAAATGTGACCATATGACCGTGTACGTGGCGGGGGCCACGAGTGGACAGCGTCGCACGTGGACCAAGAGGAGTTGCATGTGGGCCAACGAGCTACTCGCGGGTGGTTACATAGGGGGTGGGGGACAGCGGTTCGCGTAAGATATCCCAGAACTGGCTGATATGTGAGGGGGGGGGGACGTCCGTAAGACGGCTGTAGGTCCTAGAGGTCTAGGTTGTGTGGTGAGTCTAGGTAATAGGATGATTGCGTGATTGAGTCTATGTGAAGCAACGGCTGAATCCTTGCGGTGTATGAACGTTAAGGTGCTAGAATATTTTGATGAATGTTGGTGTATGTCTTGTAAGTTGCATATTGATTGTAATGGCTATCCCGCATGGGATAGCGTAGAGTGCCATGCGAACAGACTGGTCTAGAGTTACTTCACTGAGTAATCCCAATTGGTCACCTTTCTATTTCCGTTTTTTCTATGCGCAGGACTGTAAATAGAAGTATGGATACGGGGGAACGGATTTCATTAAAAGATTGCGTCCATCGATTTCTAGGACCAGTAAAAAATACATAGGATTATCTAATTGAATAGACACGTGTATGTAACAATCTTTCGCTAAACCTCGATTAGATGCCGATGATCAGATTGTTACACTAATGATTAGGTATACTTACTAATCATGTACTATACGTGAAAATGCAACTGCCACATTAGCAAACACTAGATTCCACTTTTGCCTCATAATCATACTCTTCCATATATGTGTTTGGATAACGTTCCATCATTGTTTTCAAGTAATATTTCGATAGTGCGAAAAAGTGATATATTTACTCGAAATGGGGATATGTCTTACACGTCACATCTTAGTACCGTAGACAAGGAGATAGAACGAACCAATCAGCTAAAGGTTAAGCAAAGTTGAGATAGACCATCACGTAAGGCTTCGCTTTAATGAAAATCTAACCGTACCCGTGTCAGTCAACATCTTTTGAGACAAAACCTGTGTTAAAACAAAGTTTTTAAAATGGTTTTTGGTTTTTGATTTTGAAAAACCATTTTGAAGTTGATTTTGGTAAAAATGATTTTCGAGAAATTAGGAAAACTTGGTTTTCAAATAACTACCCCAGTCTACACAAAAACCAAAATCTGTGTTTTTGTAGATTTTGGGCAACGATGATTTTTCTTATTTATCATTTCTTTCCTCATTCCCATAAGTTCAACTCCCCTATACATACAACTAGACCAGTTGTTTTTCATCCCAACGCTGAAAAAACATTTGATCATATGTTCGTACACTTGATTATGAGAATTTTGCACTTAACAATTAAAATNTTTTTGTAGATTTTGGGCAACGATGATTTTTCTTATTTATCATTTCTTTCCTCATTCCCATAAGTTCAACTCCCCTATACATACAACTAGACCAGTTGTTTTTCATCCCAACGCTGAAAAAACATTTGATCATATGTTCGTACACTTGATTATGAGAATTTTGCACTTAACAATTAAAATATGCAATAAAGTATTAGAATGAAATAAATTAAAAAATCACGTATTTATATATTATAAAAATCAAAAAATATCCAAAAATATTTAAAATATTATTTTAATTATATTTTACAGAAATACTCATAAAATAAATAACCATGTTTGTATTTTCTGTAGTAGTTAGTATTACTATTATTGTCATAATATATTATTTTATTATTCTTTTTTATTTATTAATCTAATCTAAATTTAATCTTATGTGTATTGGTACTTTTTATAATATTTTAACTATAGAAGATTTGAAAATATAACAATTCCTATTTGGTTTTTAAAATTCAATATTTTAATTGTTTTAGTTATGTATTGTTGTATATATATGAATTGTGGTTCATTTATTTAGTTTGAATTATTTTTATTTGAAATAATTTTACAAAAGTTGTCAAAAAATAACTTTACAAAACAAATAAATGTATCTATAAGTGGTATCATTTTTTATTATTTTTTTGTTTTAATAGTAAGTAATATTTTTATTTCAATTTAAAATAAATAATAACAAAAAATTGTTAAAATCAAAATTATTATTCAATTTTTTCTAAAACTAAAAACTATAAAAAGTCAAAACCAAAATCATTCAATTTTCCTAAAAACTAAAACTACCGCTAAATAAAAAAACCAACACCAAAAATTTAAAATAAAACTTTTTTAAAATTTGAAACAAAACTCAAAAGCCAAAACCAAAATTACCATTCATATTTTTCTAGAAATTAAAATCGACTGCAAAATAAAATTACAAAATTTAAAAACAAAATCCAAATCTAAAAACCAAAAATCAAAAACTAAAATTTTTAAACTATTCAAACAATCATCACCAAAATTTAACTAGTGTCCTCACAGTTACGTACAAAAATGCTCTTAATTGGTAAAAACAAATTCTAATACTTCTCGCTTTTTTATTTAGCATTTATTTAAATCACAAAATTATAAAAAGACCAGTAAAGTAAGTTAAACTTAATTAATTATAAATTTATTACAAGCAGGCTATGAATACCCAAAACCATGTCTACGTGTTAAATTTTGATTCAGTCTCAAAATTAATTTTATTTTTAGGATTTTCTCATTCTTCCTTTTTTTTTGGTCAACTTTCTCATTCTTCCTATTTTTATATTCTTCAATAAAATAAATCAACTATTTCAAATTTTCCAATTTCCTTTTATCATTTCATCATTTCTTCACCCGAAAAATTATAATCTTTTAACAAGAAGCCAAACAAATCTCTGCCAAAAAAATTACAGATAAAGATTATAAATTATATGAGTTATAAATTAAATAAAATAAAAAACCAGAAAGATATAATTTATTTAAACTTGGTGTAACTGTAAAACTTTGTATAACTTAGTGTAACGGTAAAATTTTGTATAATTTAGTAAAACTTCAACTAATTTAGATTTTAACTTTTATAGTAGCATCTCCTAATCGCTATCACATTTTTACGTCTACAAAAATTTATTCTGTTATTGTTTGGACACAAGTGTTTTTATTTATATATTTATTAAACTTATAAAATATAGAGAAAAGTTAGAGAAATTACATAATGTAAAATGTATTTTACATAAATTTAGTAAAAATAAAAATTACATATCAACACACAACTAATCTTCAATTGGCCAGTCACGAACAGTCAAATGTATTTCATTGCAGAAGTCCCAAGCTGCATATTGCCAGAAACAATGATCGCATGTCCACTTTGTTCTTGATCCATCTAGGGAGACTACAAACACTGGTTCTTCGATTTGGGAGCACCAACAATCATACGAGACGTTAGCATCTATTTTTTCCAATAACGACATAAACATTCCAGGTTTATCGTAATCCCAGTGGCCTGAAAGTACCACTCTAGTGATCATGTGATACATCTGATCAACATGTTCACGAGTAAGGGCAGGATAGTTGTGAACCAAGCCTTTATCATCAACGCTAAAGGCTAAGTTCATCATACCATCTACATATTGGGCCAGTAAACATCCTCTTTCACCAGCAAGATGTATTTTTTCCCTTCCTTCATCAACTAGATGGAGTATGAAGAACTCATACATACCTCGTAAGTATATGGCCTCTGGATTGCCCGAATGGTAGCATCTAAGCTTGAATGTTCTAAGAGCATTGGCCTCTTCTATCCAATCATTCATGAGAATGAGATTTGCAGACCTATAAAAATAATTTTCCCGGCCGATTGCATTAAACGCAGGAAAGGCGATTCTTGCACTACCAAAGTCCCGGATACTATTTTTTGCTATCTTAGAAAGAATCCGATGAAGCATGGAAGGATGTAGAGAAGCCAAGCTCAAATTTTCCATATTTCCTTTTAACCTGTAAAGGAAAAACAAAAGAAAATAATTATTATAAGGAGAGATATAATATTTCGGAGAAGGTGATAATCCCGATCCGTTGTAAATTTATTCATGTTTAAATTTGTTATTTCTGTCTGATTAAGAGTATATGACATTATTGCCAGTTTAGTTCCATCAGAAAGGTAATCCATGGGACACGAAAAGCGCTGCCGTTTCAAATTCAAGTTCGTGAGAAAGAATCCTATTCCTTCCTCGCCTCCTATCGTCCTAAAGGACGTCGTTACGATCGCTGAGGTTAAACTATACGACCACGTCGTCCTCTGTTACGTTAGTTATAAAGAAGTATAAACACAGATAGGTCGTCGTTTCCTCTAGACTACGGTATACGTCATCTCGTCTGAAGAGGAGCAGTGTTGAAGGGTTTGACTTCATGCCGGTTACTTATTACAAGAATCTGAAGAAACGGGTGGGAGATGTGCTTAGTGATGAACAGATTAAGGAGTGTGAGGAGTTGGGGATTATTGTGGATAGAGTCTTAGAGATGATCAAGGGACGTTGCTTCAGATCTTCACAAAACCACTTGGTGACAGGTACAAACACAAGAACTTAAAAAGTGTTTCTCTTTATCAGAAAGCTAACTAAGAGTGCGATGATAACTATAGAGATAACGCATGAAGAAAGATGAGGAAGGGAGTTTACCGGGGTGGAGGAGGATTTGGTGGCTTTGACAAAGGCAACTTCCTGAGCTTTTCAAGACTATTGTATAAGAAGAGTACTGAAGCAAGCAGCTTTAAAGAAGAAGAAGAAGAACGAACAACTCTAGAAAAGGAATGTATTTCATATATGTAAAAGTTTGTCAGTTGTTACAAATACACTCTTATTTAGGAAACTAGATCAATACAAATACCATCTCAGGGTTCAATAACAATGTCTTTGGATCAGGAATCAGTATTTTGAGATCCTAATCCTTGGGGCAGACGCTGAACATAGCTATAAAAAAGTCGAGCTTAAATGATGGGTCGAACTTCTGAAACATTTCTTCTTCACCTGGATTTAACCACTCCCTGCATAACATTACCATACATGTTTTCTTTTCAAGTTGCTGAATATTTAATTAGTTCACTCTCGTGAGCATAGATAGATAGATACGTACTCGACATATCAGTCGGGGAATTCACATCGACCAACTAGACCAGGGCCGCCGATCCTAGGATGCTGCAACAGGACAGAAACACACATGAAGATACATTAGGACAACGAACAAGTTCATATTCGTGTCTCCATCAATTTTACAACGGAAAGGGTAATTTTAAATCCAAACCTGTGGTGCTAACGAGAGAAATTTGTATTTATCTAGAGCATAGCGAACCACTGCCTCGTTCTCGCTAGGGTTAATTGTGCATCTAGCAAAATACAAGACAATCATCCACAGGTAAGACTGTAGTAACTCTCAGTTACTCGACTCTCACTGCCCTCATCTGAATAGACTGGATAACGCAAACTCAGAATTTAAGGATGGTGTTTGAATACTTACGTTGAGTATCCGAGAACTCCACCAACGCATACCAGTTGAACAGCCTGGTCAAACATTTTCCGCTGGGACCTTCCATGGTTTCTCAACAATATTACAGTTTCCTACAAGAAACAGCAGTGGCAAATTCATTCCACTCCGAACAATCGTTAAAAAAAAAAAAGAAAGAAGGAAGAAATACAGATTCTACTCGGACTTCACGTATAACAACATTTATATTACTTCAGTCTTCAAGAAGCAACTAGGAAATAATATTCCTGCCGCATACAAGTTATTAAGCTAAGGCTATCCATATATCGATACAAGGAGGATGTGTACACGTTGTTAACTCAGATAAATGCAGCTTTTGAAATTTATCTTACCAGTCCAGCGAAAAGACGAGGTCTCAAGCCAAGAGCAGAACAAGGAGCGTCTAAAAGGACCCTATCAAAACTATTAGGCGTGAAACCTTGAGATTTTCCAGCCCTTCCACCTTGGCTTTGAGTTCTTCCGCGTCCGTTTTTCAGCCTTCCCTTATTCTTCCTGATTTCAGATTGGCTAACGTTATCCTCTCCATTTAACTGTTTAGTGCTGGCTAACATATGGATGAAAGTCGAAAATTAAGATTCAGCTTATATTAAGAAACTAAAGATGCTAATTCACTAATGTTGTGTAGTTTTTTTAATATAAGCTGAATCTTAATTTTGAGACACAACACAGTTTATCTATATGATAACTAAGGTTCTTCTCCGCAAGGGGACAGGGCAATGCAAACATGGCAATTTTATTGACGTACTATCACCTAGCAAACACAGAGGCCAACATTTTTAAGAAAACAACTACATCAAGTAAACTCTATGAGACGGAGAGAAAGTAGCTTTTATTACCATTTTCCTCGCACGATATCTCAGCCTCAGATCCTCTAGAAGCATCAGATGCCATTTCCTCTTTTGATGATAGTTCAGAATGTCTGGTCACAGAACCCTTGTTGTCACCGTTAACTGATGTTGTTGAATCACAGAGTGTGTGTGGAAGACAAACAGATTTTGGCGCATCCAAGTTACGTGTTGTTATGCAAGTTAAGCCCATCTCAGCAGACAATCTATGGACATCCAGCACCTTTTCTAAAAAACACAGTAAATGAACAAATTAATAGCAGGTGATTTTGCAATCCCAACAACAATTCCCTTTAGCATTGTGTTTCTTAGCACTCGATGTAAACATGTCAGCGAGTATAAACACCAATTGAAATCATGTCTGTTTCAATAAATTTTAGGAATTCAAAAGGTTATGTAATAAAAAAAGAAAGTGTACTTTGTTATGAGATCTATCTGCAGGCACTATCTCTCCTTCATCATTCATAAGTATAGCTATTGCAGTAGTCTTTGCACCCGCTGTGCTGCACACGTATCTAATATTCTCTCCCCTTTCTGAGGATCTGGCCGGCCAAGTCACAAGTTTAGCATAACTGAAGGTATAACCATGGTGTACACGGAAATATTAATTCACTTACAGCGAGCATGAGCAGCAACAATACTGAGCAGGTTTTGAAGAAATATTTCCCCCTCGAATACATCTAAGGAGCCAAAACGACAATGTGATATTAATACCCCATGATGAAATAAGAGACTGAGAGTCCTAAGCTGTTGTAAGCTGAAGCAGATAGCAAACTTAGGACATAAGAAGAAGCTTACGATGAAAAGAAGGCAACTGAAAACTCTATTGCTCAAATCCACCGCAACTCCATGAGAAACACTAAACATGCCAATCCTTGACAACATAGCTGTTCCCATGCCGATATATAGTCCACTGCATTCACAGCAGAAAGAATCTACAATAATACGGCACATGACAACTGTTTGAGTTCAAAAATATCTTACGCGACGGAAAAAAAAACTTCAAAAGTATTTTTCAAGGTTTGATTGTTGGCAACCCAAAAGCTTATATAAAAATGCATTCCACAGAGTGAATTGTTTGACTTGTTTGGCTGTGACAAGTTGTAACTTTTGATCAATAAACAACCTAACAGGTGGAAATATTTGCTTTCATAGCAATAACGAAAGACCTATTCTTTGGTTTCAGTTATAGTGAAACAAAAGGCTTAGCAAACCATATGATATGTGACCAAAGCAAAAAGGAGGAATAATGATTCTTGCCTGGCGGTAGACCCTGAAGAGTGGTCCCACGAGTCATATTAACACTCCAATCACCAGGTTGTTCCATAGCAACACAGAAGGCAACTGCATCTCCTTTCTCAACATGGGCAGTGCAAGCCAGTACACCTGGGACATAGACCTACAACAAATCGAGAAATATAAGTTCCCTTCCCCAGTTTGTTGTTTTAGTGAGATGGGAATTTACCTGGGCTCCTCTGAGAACTGTTTCAGCACACTTCCGGCTCACAAGAACCTCTTTGGGAGGGTTATCAGGCTCAGAGCCATATTCAATTGTATGTGGTCCTGAACCATTTATAAAAATAAAATATTGCAGGAATCTGACACTTGGAGATGGGACTACTTCCATCTGATTGCACAATCTTCAAGCCATCCTCGGAGTCTAAGAGTGTCGTAAGCTTCTCAATAACCGCGTCATGCAGGAGTAGGAAGATGGACGCCTAACATTGAACCAACAAAAATTGGTAAGCAAAAAAAAAATGTTGCAACACTAGAGAAAAAGTGAGGGCTTTCTTTTAATGGTTTTACTATGTAAAAAGGAAGACAAACTCAGGAAAATGAAATGCGAACTCGTGCAACGAGCTACACAACCAACCAACAGGAACGAAATCTGTTAATGTGAGGGAACAGAACTCACAAGTTATCAATTTGAGAAAAAAACTCACAT